CGATCGGGTATCTTGTTGAAACTTCAAATCAAATTAGATCCGAAAGCAAAGGAACATGCAGGGAAATTTTACCCACGATCGAGTGTCTATACCCGATCGAGTACACCGACATACTCGATCGGGTATAGTTATAAAATTTACTCTAAAACCGATCGAGTATGGGTCGAATTCTGATTTCTACACATACTCGATCGAGTATATTTATATACTCGATTGAGTACCCGACCTGCACCTCAAAAAAGCCTATAAATACACCTCCTTTCCTTCACAATAGAAATCATTTTCCTTTATACTCTTAAGCTCAGTTTAGAATAGCATTTTTTTATATTTCTTTTAGCATGTTTAGTCTCCAAATGAGGAGCTAAACTCTCAATTCTTGGTATTGCTCTTGAAGCTTGTTGATTATTAAAGTTGTGAGTTATTTTCTTAACTTCTTTTCCTTGAATATTAATTCTTCCTTTAAATATTATTTCTATATCAATGTTGGGGAGTGTTACTAAGATGACAATTAGTTAACATCTTGACATTGGTTTTGGTAATAGCTATTCCTTCCTCTATGTTAATATCGGGGAGTGTTACTAAGATGACAATTAGTTAACATCTTGATATTTAACTATAGTAGGATTCATTCCCTTTAATATTCTTCCTTGAGTATTAATTAATTCCTATTCATATTTCATATTAATATTTTGAACATTACTTAAAGGATCAACTAGTTTTGTTTCATATATTAATTATTACTAGAAATGATCAACGAACCAATGGTTAATCGTTGATAGTTTCACAAGTAAGTAACTTTGATTTATTAATGCACGGTCGTGGTTAATAAACTTAAGAGGGGTTAATTTTGTTGGTTAAACCGAAACCGTTGTGTTAAGGTTATCAATCTCAATTGATTTCATCAAGGAGTTAAAAGATTAAATGCTACTATCAAGTCGGTATATGGCGTTGTTCTATACTTGACTAATAGTAAGGGTTATTAATGAACGGTCGTTGTTAATAACTATCCTCGATGAATTGGATATACTCCTCGATTGAGTATTCGAGAGGAGATAAGTTATAGATATAACAATGATCGACTAAAATATATCAACAAGTGGAAAGTAGCAATGCCAAGTCACTTTTATCTTTGAATTAAATCCCATATAACTCGTTCATCTTCGTGTTTAATTTAATTAAATCACATCAACAATCAAAACCCCCCTTTTACTTACTATTTATATAAAAAGAAAGTTATTCCTTTCCCTGTGGATACGAACTCTACTTCACCTATACTACGTATAAGTGCTAGTATCGATTTATTTTGAGTGCACTCACGACAAAGTGCACGTCAGTTACTAAGATGACAATTAGTTAACATCTTGACATTAGTTATAGTAATAGCTATTTCTTCCTCTATGTTAATATTGGGGAGTGTTACTACGATGACAATTAGTTAACATCTTGATATTAACTATAGTAAGATTCATCTTCTTTAATATTCTTCCTTGAGTATTAATTAATTCCTATTCATATTTCATATTAATATTTTGAACATTACTTAAAGGATCAACTAGTTTTGTTTCATATATTAATTATTACTAGAATCAATCGGTTAATACGCTTGTTATTAATTCGGTTCTTTCAATGGTAGTAAACTTGGGTTGTTAGTGCATGCTTCTCATGATTAATAAGCCAAGGGGAATTAATTATTAATTATATTGATTAAACCAATAAACTGCTTGTGTTGAGGTTATCAATCTCAATCGTTTTCATCTTAAGTTTATTGTCACTATCAAGTTAATATACGGCGCTTGTTCTATATTGACTCGATAGTAAGTTTTATTAATGAACGCATCTCGTTATTAATAACTACCCTCGATGAACTGGATATACTCCTCGATTGAGTATTCGAGAGGAAGATAGTTAAAGATATAACCTGCATCGACGAACATTTCATTAAGTGGATAAAAGCAAAACCAAGTCTTCTTCTCATTAATTAAACCACATAACTCGTTCATCTTTGTGTTTTAATATTCTAAAAAGTTCTTCAGCAACAAATCTAAAAACCCCCCTTATTACTAGTTATAAAAAGAGAAGTATTCCTTTCTCTGCGGATACGAACCTTACTACACTATACTACGTATAAGTGTTGTATTGTATTATTATTTTGAGTGCACATCACGACAAAGTGCACGTCAACTATACATTACCTCTATTAGTTTCAGAAAGCCCATCACTTACTACTCTTGAACTCTTCAAGGTGCGAAGGACTAGTGTTTGGTAGGCTTTATTGTAATGACTAAATGCATTTTGCTTTGCACTACTCTCCTTAGCTTTCTTGAATTTCTGTAGGAAGAGATCACCAAGCTCCTTGTTTTTACCCGCCTCTAAAAGCAATAACGTATTATCGCTAAACTTATCACCATTCTTTTGACAAATTCTTGAGTTTGTGATAGTCCAGTGCTTGCTTGTTTCAACTGTTTTTCACTGGCATCCAACTTATGCTTCTTCCAGAGCAACCTTCCTGGTGCATAGTAAAAAAATACTAAGAAGAAGTGTTATCCATATTCTTGAAGTAAGATTGTAGAAATGTAGAGCCGAATACAAGTGTAGATAAGGTAGAAAACTTGTTTTAATTAGATGTAATTATTTCCTTCTTATCAGATGATTAGAAGTGTTAGGTAGTCAGATCCTACTTTTTAGGATCTCATTATTGAGACTGTTAATCTTGTACTCTATATATATTGTAACCGGATGATTGAATGAAATAAGTTAGATTTTTTCCTCAAACTTACAAAGATACATGCACTTGGCAATGCTTGTTTTCTTTTTCATACCTTTAGCATTCATGAAAGAAACTTTGAAACAAAATGACAAAAGTCTTGTGTCTGTCGTCCGCCTTTGAACTACACTTAAAATCTATCACCTCCGTAGAAACAATTAGATTCGCTGATCCTGTAATGAGCTTAACTGAATCAATGACAGACAAACCAGACTTCTCATCACTTGACTTAAATTCTAGAAACTTTCTGTTAGGAAATAAGAACACAGCCAAAACAACATGCAATTCAAAAAAAAAACACAAACAAAATAAAATGGAATTATAACAAAGGTCACTCATTTTCTTCAAAATCATAGACTCTCTTGCACTCCATGGTGGCGGCTTGGGAGGAGGAAAAGCCCCCGGAAACGACTGCGCCATGTGGTCTGCAGCACCCTCCTCATCGAGCACCAGTTTGTCATCCTCAGTCTTGATCTCCTAACCGTCACACTGCCCGTTCAACTTTTTCAAACTATCTTGCGTCAGATCTGCCTCATCCTATAGGAAACAATTATTTTGGGAAATAATGGCGTACCCTATTGGGTGCCTTGAAGATATATTTATACTAAAACTGAGTTTAGGAAATTACATAGTAATCCTTATATAATTACATTATTACACCCCCTCAATCTGTGCAGGTGAAACAACATGCAGATTGGAACGTAAAAATTCAAAACACCGACTAGACAAATTTTTGGTAAAGATGTCAGCCAACTGCAACTGAGTAGGAATATCCTTGACAACTAGATCACCATGCGCCACTCTTTCTCGAACAAAATGATAATCAATTTTAATGTGCTTGCTTCGGTCATGCTGAATAGGATTAACATCCAAGTACGATGCAGAAACATTATCACAATGAAGCGTTACCGGAGCCGAAATATAGATGCCCATGTCAACTAAAAGAGACCTGACAAAAAGTGTATCCTGAACGGTGTATGCAATGGCCCTGTATTCAGCTTCAGTAGAGGATTTGAGACAGTGAGCTGCTTTTTGGACCGCCAAGATATGAGATTAGATCCGAGGAAAACAGCATAACGTGTGGTGGAACGGGAACTGTTTGGACATCCAGCCCAGTCTGCATCTGAATACGCCATAATAACTGAAATATTTTTGTCAGAACCGAGCCAGAGGCCGTGAGAAGATGTCCCTTGTAAGTACCTGTAAATTCTCTTGACAGCTAATAAATGAGCAGTACGGGGAGCATGCATAAACTGGGAAACCAGATGAACAACATATGTAATATCAGGTCCAGTTATAATCAAATACTAAAGAGCTCCTTCCATACTGTGATACTCAGTAGCATCAGACAAAAGTTCCCCATCTATGAGAGAAAGAGTGATACGTGAGAGAAGAGTTGCCAAAATACAAAGTATTCCTAAATATATATTAGGTAGATTCTTAAATATATATTAGGAAGATTCCTAAATATATTAGTGGGCGCCGGGATTGTCGGGGCAGACGGCGTCCAGGTAAACGGGCCGGGCATGCCAAAACGAAGAGAAGTGTCGAGCGGTTGAAGATCACAAAGGCGCTGCGACAGGGAGGCCGACACCGGAGATCGAATCTACGCGGCCGTGAGAGAAGGCGATCCGATCGGCATGGATACCTGCAGAAGAGAGGCCTGGTGTGTGCTGCTTGAACCGGAAGGGAGCTGGTCACCGGTAAGCACTACGGTGGAGACAAGGACGCTGGAGATGGTCTGCGCCGCCGTGGCAGGCGCCTCAGAGGTGGCGGCTGTAGGGTTTGGATGGCCGGCCATGATGAGAAATAATTAGGGAGAATACCTAGGCGACTGATACCATATACAAAACAATAATTTTGAGAAATAATGACGTACCCTATTGAGTGCCTTGAGGATATATTTATACTAAAACTGAGTTTAGGAAATTACATAGTAATCCTTATATAATTACATTATTACTTCCTCATCCAACCACGACCCCGCCTGCCCTAATCTTGTTCGCGATCTCCACCATATAGGCGTTGTGGTGCTATTGAAGAAGAAAACCCTAGATAGGGACACAGCCGCTAGGTCTCTTCTCAAAATTTTCCCTAAAGGAAAACAACTTAAACACCATATATATATATATATATATATATATATATAAATTAAAAGTAAGTCCTAATTTTGTCTAATGCAAAGCTGGCAGTATTAATAATACTCCGTATGTTAATAATTAAAAGGAATCACCATTATTTGCTTACCGCGCTACGGCGCTAATATATTACGGGGTGTCTATCTGCAAATGCGTGGCGAACACTAACACCAAAACCATTTGGCCATTTCCGCAGTCGATGAACCCTTACCTTGAGCTTCTTCAATTGACAACTTTCAAACTTCGTTAACTGGTTATGCACAACAGCACAAGTTATTACTTCACCCCTTCAAGATCTGAGGAGCCCAGTCCGTATTTAGTTATCCCTAATTTATTTCCGGGCATTAATGGAGGACGAACTGGCAATCAGCGAATGTTCTCCCATTGCCACTAGATCCGACTCAAAGGTTACTGCTTTACTTCTTGTTGGGGAGAGTGAATAGTTATAGTCATTCAGTTATTATCTATGTGTTTTCAGGCTAAGAGAGCAATGGCGGGACTTGTAGAAAGATCGGAACTTTATCACAAAACAGTGAAAGTGAGGGGTCTTGAACATTATGCAGGCATGTTTTTTTAGTGAAGCTGTGCTTCTGTATTGTTTCTAATTGGATTTCGCTGCTCTAATTGTCAGAGGGTTCACCCTGGTTGTGTTTTAGTTAGAATAATTTCCTTGAATTGGACCGAAACATAACATATACTTTGATATATAATTGGAAAACTTTGATGAAAGGGATTTAATGTATTGTGTTAATAGTGCTGAAAAGGTTTTGAGGGGAGAATTAGTTTTTTATAGCATAATATGTGGTATTTTTATAACTGCTGCAGTACTTTGAAGTGACTCCCTCATGTTGCTCTTTATTTTGCATCGACAGAAATAAATCAAAAAGGTAATTGTAAAGAAACTGAATGTTCTTCTCAACCCAACAGAGAGGGACTGCTTAAGATTCATGGGAGGGAAGCTTCCATCAGTCCGGTGAATATGGGAGGATGTGGCTTAGGTCTAAATGCAGAAGATGTTTCTAGCTCAGTCAATGTTGACCCTTATTATCATCAACAACAGAATAGTATAGGGCAAACAGCAAAACCAAGGGATAATAATGGGCAAAAGAGAAAAAACGAGAGGATGAAGAGAAAGATAGAGCTTGCAAAGAAAGAACAAGCAGACAGGTTTGCTAAAATTGCAGCCCCCACCGGTTTGCTGACTGGACTGAACCCCGGGATCATTAACCATGTGAGAAACACCAAGCAGGTCCATTCCATTATAGAAGCCCTTGTGAAATCTGAAAAGTATGACAGTAATTTAATCCTTGAAGGTAAACAAGGTAAGAGTGGTGGAGAAAGAAAGGAATTAAAGGATATTGAAAAGGGGACAATGAATGCTTTGTCAACAGGGATGCATATCATTGGATATTCAGCACCTTCTAATGAGTGTGAGCTTGAAGGTGACAATGGCAATTCATGTATGATTGGGAAAAGGACAAAATATCTATCAGACTGCAATGGTGCAAATAGCGTTGTGTCTAATGATGATGCATCAACGAACGTAGCTGATGTTACCGCCCTTTCCATTAATGGTTGGTTTTCTACTTTTTATGTCTCTTGTTATTTTGTGGCATTCAGTGGGAAACTAGGAATATAAGGCATCACAGGCTGTCGTTTCCATTTGAATTCTATGCTTAGCACATGATATACATTTCTATTCCTGTGAAGTCTAAACGGAAGAGTCTGTTTGGTCGAAGTATTTTGCCAGATTTGCTAAATGAGTTGAATTTAGTGATATTTTGGCAGAAATAAGTGAATGTACTGATTATGCTTAATTGACTAAAAATGATTTTTGATCACGTTTGAAGCATAATAATGATGATTGAAGTGTCTTGGCATGTCTTCATCTTAATTATTCATTGAAACAAGTAACTTTTGTACAATGTTTTTTTCATTATGATTGAGTTTGATGGTTAGCTAAAAATGTAATTCAAAATGTACTTTAAAATTAATACTTCGTATGTAACAAAATAATAATAGAAGTGTTATTTGTTTAATACGAAAAGTAATTTCACAGTATTTTTTTTGCTTATACTCCGTATGTACTTAAATAAGCTAGTTTTTGGTAGAAAAAGCATCTGACAACTCAAATAAGCTATTTAAACCCATGATATGTGGTATGATTCAAACATTTCACTTTTGGATTATAGCAACTAATCAGATTTCACTTTTATTCCTTTCATCATAGCTGCTAGAGTTGCATCACAGTGGTTGGAACTGCTTAATCAGGACACTGAAGGCCGCCTTGCTGGTATGGTTCCACACTCCCACTGTATACTCTTTCAATAACTACCCTGTGAAATGAAGCAAGTTATATGCAAATAATAATTGTCTGCCTGCTCTCTTTATTTTCCAGCATTAAGAAGCAGTAGAAAGAGAGTATGGGAGGTAATTCATACAGAATTTCCTTGCTTAATCACAAGGGAATTCTCTTATAACAATAACAGTAATCCACTACAAGATCCTGGAGGATGTGAGAAAGCAGCCGCACATCATGCTAGATGGAGTGCATTGTTTTTTCAGCTTGATGCATCTCTATGTGAAGAAGAGTGTCAGCTGGTGAGTCTAAGCTATGCTGATTTTCCCTTTGCACATTCTATTGTATGTTTGGATAATGGAATCTTCTAGAAAAATCGGAAAAGTGAATTTTATTTGCTATGCTTGGCATTACTTTGGAAATAACAAATGAAAATGAAATATGTTTTTTTAATATTTTTAAAGTCATATGTTTTAATCTAATAATCTATACATGATTAAAAAAAATATTTAAAAAGAGTTTGGACAACTATCAAAACTACATTCATTGATTGAGCATATGAGCCCGTTTGCTGAGTTATCTGAAAGGTAAAGCATTTGGTGAACCCATTTCAGCCTAATAACTCAAAGGCTTCTTATTCTGTTTATTGTCCGGATAAGCTAATCTTGAATTCTAAATCAATTTTTCTTCTTCTGTTCATTTTCCTCGGTTTGATATCTCTAGTATTTTCTGTGTTCTAAAGGGACCCTTACTCTCTTTGCATAAAGATGAGACTTCAAAGTTTTATTTGTCTTTTTATGTGTTTAGATTATGCCACTGCCCTTTCTTCCGTGCTTGCAGTTATGACCAAAGTTTCAAAACATTTTTAGACCTTTTCTTAATTAATTGTCATAGGTAAGCTGGCAAAAACAAGTACAAGAAATGCAGTTGCAATGTGAACACGGGCTTATCAAATATACTAATAATAATATGGTGCCACGCGGTTCACCTCGGCTTGCTGCACTGCAAAATGACATCAGGCAAATAAGAATACATACTTCTCATTCTGTTCCATTATGCTTCTTCATGCTGCACTTTAAATCTGATAATTCCTTCATACCTTTTTCTGAATGCAGACTGGATAAAGATCCAGGAAGGGATTTAGCTGTTAGAGCAGCTGCAGCTTCCATTTATTCAACTTGCAATTTTCTATCATCAATGGAAAATCAAAGTCTTGTTTAACCTTTTTTTATTTGGAATTTCACAATCTTGTTTAATGTTTGGTTCGCCGGATGATGTTATGTTGCCTTCAGGAATGACTAATGAAATATGTATTTTTTTTGTTTAGTTGTGTTTTGAGGAATATTAGCAAGCTTATTTAAATATTTAATTGGAGTCTTGGAGAAACCTGTATAAATGTACATTGAAATAATATCTCATGCTTTTATTGTTTTAATTTGAGCATTTTTTTTATATAAGGATAACTTTCTCACGCTGTGGTTTTGTTTTGGGTAGCCTGCTATGCTTAATAATGGTTATGAATAAGAAATAATTATATATTTATAATTAAAATAAAGATTGTTTATAAAAATATGACTAAGGTGACTAGTGACTAGAGTAGTAATTTTATATTTATTAGCAAAATATACATCAATCTACTCGAGTACTTCATATAACTCTACATTAGTAATGTGAGTATGAATTTACGTCAAGAAGTTACATCAATAAACATTTTTAAGAAAAACACTCATTTGTGTATATTTGAAAAATGAGGAAGCGGTTCAGCTCAACTGGTCGCCGACTCACTCTCCCTCCTTTGTGGGAGGTTTCGTGTTCGAAACTCAATGAAGTGAGTGTCAGCCCAGTGTATTCCAAGCCCTCCCAGACCCCCCTCCCCCATACACCCCCTGGAGTAAAAAAAAGAGTATATTTGAATAATTTACTTATAATAAACCACTACAATCTATTTAACATATCTAGCTATAATAAAAAAGAAAATAGAGTTAGCTATGTTTACATATTTGCTATCGGCGAAATATTTTGAAAAACATACCTCAACCATTATTCAAATTTGTATATAAAATTCTTATTAACGACAAAACCCGACCAATCTAGACACATTGGACATAAGTAGCTAAATGTATCACTCAAGCTGTAGTTACTAGACATTGAAGCAACAATTAAAGTCTAATCATCGTCAAAAATCATCTAATCACGTCACATTAAATGATCTATTGTTTTGAAAAAAAATTAAGGAAGATCATATATAGTAGAGAAATTGGTGATATAAGAAATAAGAGCATAAAGCTGGGCAATAAGATGTATCATAGAGAAAAAGAAATCCATCTCAAGCAAGTTTACATTAGCTTCATCTACTCCATCGATGTTTTTTGTGTTGATAGTGTTTTCTTGAGCCACAAAGGAGAAACCAACAACAATCTATCCTTATCTAAAAGGAAAAGAAATTACAGGCATGTTTTGCCGCCCAAAAGTGTCAATGTCAATTGTTACTGATTTACTCGGTCAAGGTAAGTTCCGAGGCAGGGTTTTTCCGTATGCGTTCCTATTTTGAATACTAGGCAACGTATAACAACCTATTTTCACCGCGTGCTTTCCTATTTTAACTGTATGCTTTCCGGGGAAAGTAAGTCCTTATTTGCAGTATTTTGTACGCCAGTTTCCTATTGGGCAGAATGGAGGTGGGATTTTTTAGGGTCTCTATTGAATGAAAAGGGTGGTGGCCACTGTTGCTTAAATTCAGACTGCTTATTCTGCATGCTTCAATTTGATTGGCTGGGATGGGTTGGCAAACAGTGCGCGGTATGTTCCTGCCTGAGCAGGGATGGGTGGTCAACAGTGGATGGTATGGTATGTGTTGTTATTTTGGCCTTTTAAAGCGTTATTGTTGGCCTATAAAATCTGAGCTGCGTTCACAAGTCTATCAAGGCAGTTATCGCTTAGCATTTTCCACTCTTATAGTAGCAAACGAAAAATTTCAGTCCCAATGGTTGGACAATTCGCACAAACCAACTGCATAATATTTTTTATGTAAAGCTTTTCTGTGTGCAACAATAAACGTTGGATCTGCAGTAGCAAGAGTATTTATATTTCAACATCGTGGTGTAATATATCATAAAAGCTGTGATTTTTTATATGTTCTGAAAATAAAGATTGAGGTTGTTCTTTTCTTTTCTTTTATTTTATGTTTCTTTGATGAATGTTATATTTCTATCATGAAGATGGATGTCATGAAGTTGCACCAGGATGAAAAAGGTGAGTAAACATTTGTACTTGATAGTTATTACTTGGTTGGGATATCATTTTGATACTAAAACTTATACTGAGCTAGATATACTTGAATCCTTTGTAAGGAATTCTCTTATATATTATGATGCTAAGGACTTTTATTTTCTAAAAGTATCATATTCTTTGAATCATTACATAACACCTAAGACCTAACATTTTCTGTGTAGCAATTGATGTTAGAAAAACCTATTTAGATAGAAAGATGTAGCCATAAAGTTGTTGAGATTAGAGAATATGCAGGAAAATGTCTGTCAGAAGAATACAAGGTTGATGAGCCATCGAATTTGATCCCAACAAAGAGTTTGTTCAAACTTCCAAGTGTGGATTCCATAGACGAACTAAGGACTCCAGGTTTTGAGGAGTTAATAAGGTCATTTAGGGACGCGAAGTCATCAAAGCAGCAGCAGCAAATGGAGATGTAAAACACGTAGTGGAGAGCCCTCAAAGCTTGAGAGATCTAAGAGTTCCCCTTGCTGCTATCAATTGAAATGAATGTTAGGTACATTGTGTATAGTAGTAGTAGCATCAATTCTTTTGTAATATGGTGTTTCTCCTTACATGTTCTTTTTAAGTTCCTTTTGATTATTTTATCAGCTGAAATATGTGAAACGAATAGTTTATTTTACTATAAGCGATAGTAAGATGTAGCCTTTGTTATGTGAGAGAAAATGATTACTTATGAAAATTGTGTAAAGCTATTCAGATTTAGTATGACTTAAAAGTAAAAGCGATACATATGTCTCGGAACAGTGGTGCCATTTGTATTTATGAATTGAAATATATGTATATATATTTGTACTATCATGTAATGCAATCAAAAAGTTGTGATTTGTTAAGGTTGAAATGTCTCATACAAATGAGATGGTTTTGAATTTGTTATTCTTTCAACTGATACATGTCAGATTCATCAAGCCTTTCTATACATTTCTTAACATTATTTAGCTATTGTTTATATGGGTTATTGGCAATTGTTGCTCAAGTTCGTCTTCATTTGGATTGCTAGCCGTATGTAGAAATTATGGAGTAATTTTTTAAACTTCCTGTTCTTGCATTCCATTACTTCTGCTTTCAACCAGTTTAGCTTTCCCAAAGCATCATCTATACTATCTTCTTTATCCAGATAGAAAACATTGATGTTTGTGCATCTACCAAGGGAGTCTTTTGTAAAGTGTCATTATTTTGAAGGTTAATTAACTATTTATTATCTTATTATTGCTTATTTAGATGTCTCTTATTTGTTAGGACTTTAGTGTAGTCTAATTTAGTGTAAGGTCTGATTTGGGTAAGAGGCAAGCAAGAAGGGACTGAAGAGTGAAGAAGCACGATTGTAGCCCACAAAGGACTCTTGAGAACTTTAGGATATACTCGGTAAAATATAGTTATATCTGCAAAAGGTATCTCAAGTAAATAATAGACACATGGATGGGTGTTTGAACTTTGGCCATTTTAAACGCTAAAGTTATCATGATTGAATTATTGATGGAAACGTATTTTATTCATCCTACTTCAAAACAATTTCTTTTTTAAATGTCTCAAAATAAGTGTAACAATTTCTTTTTTGGAAACAAATATGTGGTTTACAACATTTCATTTATTGTATTCAGATCTCAAATCTAACTTTTATTTTTTCCAATTACATTATTAATAATTATGTCAAATCACAGTAGGACATATAGAATGGGAAGAAAATTATACCAATTAATTACATTTTGAAATGTTTTGAAATTTCAAAACAATTCCTTCATGTTTTTATTGTCCTGAATAGGAGTAAAAACGTTTTGAAATTTCAAATTTGGAAAAACTTCCATGTTTAAAATTTGATAATGCCAAACTAGGCAGAAATTACTCATATTTAGGGAATAAAAACATGACAATCCTATTTTTAAATTTAAAAACTTTATTATTCCTATTTAGAGAATAAAAAATGACAGTCCTATTTTGAAATTTAGAATCTTCTATACTCCTATTTAGGCAGTATTTCCTTTATCTTATATATTATCCGTACTATAGTATATCGGTGGTACAAATATTGATGGTATATGTTTTACATGAAAAAAACTTTCAAAATTAGTAGACCGCTTAATTGTTTTATCTTTGATATATGTATTTCCACATACATATTTATTTCCCCATTTTAATACATTTTCCGTGACTTTAATATTTAAATACTTATATTTTCTAAAATAACAATATTTTGGAATTATAGCCCGTGCATCGCACGGGTACAATGAATTTAATTTTAACACTAACTTTAATCCATTTTGTATTGTTGAACTATTAGATTCATTTCTTATCTCACCACATGTTATAACAATTGTTTCGTGCATGTTGATTAGGTTGTTGGGATATGGATTTTAGAGACCACAAGTGAGACCGTTTTTTTGGATTTTGTTGGGTGATTTCTATTCGGCCTGGCTAAAAAAGAAATTGCCCAGAGTGCCAAGAAGTTTCCATTCACTGTTACGGTGAGTTTGTGGTTTTCAATTCGATACTTTTCAATCCGTGCATCGCACGGGTGAGTTACTAGTTCTTTTAATCACATAGTCACACCAAATAACTTTAGGGTTTTAACAAAATTTAAACTTGTGCATGTGCGATACAATTTAATAAATTTATGGATAGATAGTAAATTTTGTATACTAGTAATAACTTGTGAAATTAAAACTCTTTTTATGGATGTATTTAAAAATTAGAATGGTGAAAGGTTCTATTATTGTGACAGAGGGCCATGTCTTAATATATTTGTGAATTGTGATTGTATTATGTTTTTATACGGAGTAGCATTTTAAACATTTTTGTTTTAATGAATATTAGGTTCACCAGAGTTCTTATTAAGTATGAAGCATTCAAAATTTCATAGTAGCTCTTACTCCGTATTAAACACATGCCAAAGTACAAAACAGTCCTTAAGAGCCCGTGCAGCAATTCCCTGAATTGGCTGGCCCAAAGAAACAAAAACCTACGAAGATTTCTCATTTCCTCGTCTGGTTCTAACTTCTAATCACAATTTGTTAGAAGGTAGTGAAATTGCCAGAGTGAAAAGCGTCAGCAGACGAGAAGTGCGCCGAGCATTACAATGGCGTCAAATCGGAAGCATACATTTGCTACTGCTCTCTGCAATGAACTATCATTGAATCCAGTAATTTCCCGAGTTACTCGATTTTCTCTTACAAGTTCAACATCCAATCCGTAAAACATTTTGATTTATTTCTGTGGATGTCTGTAGGAACAATTTTTGGGCAGTTTAGAGAAAGATATAAAGAGCCTCTGCTTAGAAATTACCAGTTCCTCCCCAAGCGCTGCTGCCTTGCTTAAGGATAATGAGGTACTCGTCGTTTTTGACATTTCGTCGAGGTTAAGTAAGTTGCATAAGTTTAATAATAAAGCAGTAGCCAGTAGAGTACTGTTCGTACTTTTTTCAATGTTGAATTTTGCTATTTTCCGGCAGTTCATCAAATGGGTAGACTTTGCTGACAAATTCCCAGAGGATCCAGAGCTGTGCTTTAAAGCTCTAAGCGAATTAAATGAAGAATTAGTTAAAGTATCTGTTCTTTTAGGCCACGGGTTTGAGCATACAGCTGCAGATATCATTGTGTTTTCCATTGTTCACTCAACCGTGGTATGCACTCTCCACTCTCCTATAGGAGTTATGATCGCACTTAATTATGTGATTGTTGCTCTTGAAAAATCAAAGACTTCATAAGAGTATAAGACTGCTCTAGAGTTTCATTTTCAATATGGTGCGTTTCATTATGTAATTGCTTGTTACATGTTATGTGAGTTCAGACATTCTTCTGTCTACTTTAGACTTCGGAGTCCTCCCTGGCCCCTGCTACCTGTTAACTGGTTTCTAAATTAAAACATACTACCTCCGTCCCGTTGGAATGTTCCCGTTCGGTTTACGATGCTTGACTGACGATAAAGCAACTCGATCCCTGTTCACACTCCGCTTATTTTTAGTAAATAAAATTTACATATTCAGAAACTACATTAAAACCGCTACAAAGCCTGATCAAGAAAAATTCAATTTGATAAAAATTTGATATATAAAGTAAAAGATTAGGAGTGACCTAAGTTGACCAATGAATAGTGAACGGGAACATTCCAACGGGACAGAGGGAGTATATCAGGATTCGTCTTTTATCTGATTTTATTACTGCAGTAGTTCTCAATTTAACTTCTATTAATGCACTTCAATTTAACTATTGTTGCATAACGTGCTAGCCTGCTAGGTGCCCATTGGACGCTCTAGTGGCACCTAGCTGGCCTAGAGCGTCTAATCAGGCGCATATCCCACCTAGGCGGGCCTAGTTGAGCACTCGAGTCCCTAGCCTGTCTAGGAGTGAGTCATTCTAGCCATCTAGGAGTGCCTAGTGGCTGACTAGGCCATTTTTACTCAAAAGTATCCTTTGATCTGACTATGTAACTATGTATGATGTGGTTTATTGTTATGTACTTATTCTCTTCTTATTGCAATGCCAGAATTTAATTTACTAAAACTCTTAACTAGAAACTCGGTGTCCTGAATACTAGTCGTATATATAACATGTCTTGCTGCTTTTCAGATTGGCCTTTCAAAAGAGGATAAAATAAAATTGCCACACTTGCTAAGATGGATGGATTACATCCAGGTATATTCGGGCCCTTTGTTTCGGAAAGAATTACATACTTTACCATGAAAAAGCACAATGATCCACCTTATTGTGGAACTTTTTCTGGAATCATCCTTAGCACTACAGTTTAATGCTCACAAGTCCTTTTCCTTTCATTCTCTCTTCCCGTATAGAGCAAGGAAGTTGGTGCTAATCTGTTTGAAAGAATCAAATTTGAGAAGGGTAAATTTGTCCCTCCTACGAGTACTCTCCCCCTGCCGGTGAGTTTTTATTTGTAAAATCTGTATGCTATTATCCTTAATGTAAAGCCTGAGATGGTGCAAACTGCAAAGTTAGTGCTAGGAAACTGTAAACAAGATGTATAGCATAAAGACTTGAAATATTCATATAGCTAGCATAAAACTAAAAATTGATTCTAATAATGAATTCATTGTGTAAAACCCGTTTTAGGAAGTAAAAAATTTGAAGAAGGGAGAAGCTGATTCAAACTTAAAGAATCCTGAGCCAGAGAAGAAAGAGCGTGGTACCTCAGAAGATGTAAAACCTAAGAAGCAAGCTGATTTGGTATATTATTTGCTAGATGTTTCAGTTTAATGTCCTAATTATTTGTTTGTAAAGTTGCAGTATGAACATTATTTCTGGTAGTATTATGTGTCACTCTATTCCATAAGAATATGCAGGAAGAAGAGCGTGTCTTTATAAAATGGTGATTGCAAATTTAGTGTCTGACCATCAAAGATTTCTTATTCAGTTACACACTTTAGTTTTACACTTTTACTTCAATTATATAACTTCCGTAAAGATGACATTCTTGTCTTCTCTTTCTTAAATATGGAAGAAAATAGCTACCGGTGATAATCAAACAACTGTAGACAAGAAAGTGCCCAAAAAAGAAGTGGACGAGAAAGATAAAGACATTAGCGTAAGTTTGCTTAAAATTCAGATTGGTCATATTCGAAATGCATGGAAGCATCCATCAGCAGACAGGTATAGCTATCTTCTTAAACCTTCTCTTTTGCTGAATACATATCTAATATTTTAACCATTTTTTCTTTACGTTGTTCCCTTTTCCTTTTTGTATACTACGTATATTTCCAACAGAAATTGCTCAGAATAGGACCAAAACATAGACAATGTTTTCTTTCTAAAGTAGGACCAACTACGTTTTCTTTCTAAAATAGTACTGATTTAGTCGTATTAAAAGAACAAAAGAAT